ATATTATTTTTCAAAAAAATTTTTCCAACAATTATTTTCGAACAATTTTCATGATACGCTTTGTGGGTTATTCAATGTCGAAATATACTTTATATTTTATGAAATAGGTTTAATGCAAGTTAATATTGCATTAGGTATTCCTTTGAAAACAATGATTTATTAATCAATTGCTGGGGTGAGAAGATTAATTATTGCATTTCTCAAGGATATTTGCGGTTAAGCGAATGCATCCATTAGTGCAATATTTTCCAATGTTATCCGAAGAGTTTACGGTATAGAAATGGTGTAATCTTCTATATCTATGCAGGAAATTCTACTTGTAACTTAATCACCCATTCTTATATACTGGTCTGTTCTGAAAATATAATCAATATAGAATGTTATGTTAAATTTAAAAAAAAAAAAAAAAATTGATTCGTTTTTTACGATTTAGTTGAGCGCCATTTTCTTTATTTATATTGAAATTTTCCTGATTCTTAATAGTTTGCTTATCTTTTGAAATCATCTTCCGCTATCGCAATGATATTTCAGTGTCACATTTTCGACCCATTTTTTAAAACACATAATAGATATTTAAATTTTCTGTCACTCTTCATTCTGGCATTTCCAATACTTAGCCCGCATCTAGAGCTGTTTCTTTTGCTGAAATAAATGCATCCTTTCTACTTGATGGTTTGTCCTTTCTTCACATTTTCCTTTACTACCCTTTTTAGAAGGTCCTGCATTTTTCTTTTTGTGTCTGGCATCAACACTGTATCATCTGCATATAATATGTTGTTAGAGTTGTGTATTTATGAAAGCCAACTGCTACTAAATTTTGGTTTTTACTATTTGTGACTTTCAGAGCTACTTTTAAATGAAGCAAAGTTAACTTAGTCGAATAATGGAGAAACGAACGCCGAATGCAATATTTAGTAACTTCAGCTTTCAAACGCAGCCTAATTTATAACATCTTTTAGTCAAATCTGATTTCCATGATCTCAATGCCAAGCTGTATTTTTCTGTCTATAAATCTGTATTACCCAAGCGCCACCCAGATTGTGTTAGCGATTTAATATTTGACATTTACGATATTTAGAGAAGACAGACTCATAAATCTCTCAAGTTTTATACTGTGCTACTATATCATTAGACTGATTGACAATTTTCAAGTATTGTTGAATATATGTTGATATTAGTGTAAGTAGAAAGTTATTATCTATCTATCTATCTATCTATCTATCTATCTATCTATCTATCTATCTATCTATCTCTCTCTCTATATATATATATATAAACATATATTTATATATATATATATATATATATATATATATATATATATATATATATATATTATTTATTTAAAATATGATTCCAACGCTACATAAGAGTTCTCATGTTTCAAAACAAGAGCTGAAAACTTCAATATAATTATTTGAATTAAATTGAATTAAAGTACCAAGATCTGTTCAACTTCAAGCAATTTTTTTTTTTGAATAACTTATTCTGAAATCCTCCCCCCCAAATAATTTCGCTTGAAGATGGAACAGAGATTGGTACTTTAATTCAGTTTAATTCAAATAAATTTTCGGCTCTAGTTTTGAAACATGAGTACTCTTATGTAGCGTGTTGGAATCATATTTTTAAATAAATAATTATATTTATGCTCTACTTTTGTAACGAGCACTATTTTCAAAAAATAATAACAAAAATTCTAAAGAACTTTGGATTATTTACCTAACGAGTTCTTTCCTATTTTCTATATATTTTACATTTTACACACATACACACACACACACACATATATATATATATATATATATATATATATATATATATATGTGTGTGTGTGTGTGTGTGTGTGTGTATAAATGTATATTTGGGCAGCAGCCTTTCTTGTAAAATCTTTCGTCAAATTTGGCAGACAAGGAAAATTTAATTATTTTTTATTTAGCTTTTTCAGCATCCTTACGTTTTACTGTCTTGTAGATGAAGTCAATAATTATGTTGATTGTTCTTTCAACTGGAACGTTGGTAAAATATTTTCAACGTCGAGCGAATCTAGTATACTACCTGCGGGATTTTAAGATATGACGGAATTCACTTGTTGATGCGACACTATAATAGTTCGGTGTGCATGGAGAAATTACATGATTGAGGGTTTTTGATAGCAGGCATGCAGGTGTAGGTATTTAGCATGTGATAAGTCGGAGAGGAAAATCTGGTTATTGGGTTTTACATTACCGTACAGATAAACTGGATGGTATTTCTGGATAAACTGCTTGATTTTAAGTTACTGATCTCAGCGTTGTTCGCTGTTATCAGTTTGTTTATGTACATTTGGACGTACGTGGAACTTTTCTTTAATTTTGAGAATTTTTGTTTAAAGGATTAACAACCTCAGTTGGTTAATTAATGCCGAGAAAAATTTTAGGATACATTAGTATGAATAGAATATGTATTTCTTTGTAAAATATCAGTTTTTAAGTTAGATTTCATTGACGTATTTCTATAAAAAGGTTTTCTATCGAGAGTCAGATGTATTGCGGTTATTTTCTTTTGC